GTTAGCTCAGTGGAGAAAGGTGTGGAAGGGGCATTCCAGGCAGGACCAGGAGCTGTGAACCTGACACTCGAGAAACGGGGCAAAACCAGGTACAGCTGGATTGCAGGTACTTGTGGGAGAGTGATGGGAGATGAGTGGAGCAGAGCGCAGAGGCCGGGCTGTAGGCTTGTAAGCCAAGCTGAAGAGGCCAACTGTGTCCTGAAAAGCTGTGGGCTACTCCTTATGTATCTGAGAGAAGGTAAGGAGGTAAAGGCTTGTGACTTGATGACTGTTTGCCTGAGAGTCTGGAAGTTAGTGAATTTGGGAAGGTGCAGGAGCCGGGGAGGATCCCGGATAACGCTCAGGTTTCTGGCTTGAGCCAATGAGTTGATGGTGGTCCCTGTACTTTCAGTTGTGGAATACGTGAGTTTCGTTTTTCACATGTCACGTGCAACATGGCCAGTCCTCTCTGCTTAGCTTTCTTGAAGCAAAGGTGTATTTTTGTTCTGTGCTACTGTAGGAGAGCGCTACTGCCATAGGAGTTGTGGAGGAAGCTTGGGAGTGAATTGGTAAGGCCCTGTCTCATACGCACACACACCATGGTTAGTGGAAAATGTACTGGATAGTCGGAGAGTTAAGAGGAAGTCTGGCATAGCGGGTTTGCTGGGTTCAAACCTGCTGCGTTGTCATGCCGCCTGGGCGGGTCATTTCACCTCTCTGTGCCTCAGTTCTGCCATCTGTAAAGCAGGGATCATAATAGAATTTACAGAATGGTTTTTTCCCAAGGCAGGTTGTAAGAACTTTTTGTAATGTATAGAGTCAGCCATGAACCCTTTTTTGCTCTTAAGAGTCAAATAAAAATTAGAATTTTCTGTCCTGGAGATGTTGTTTGAGATGCACATGAGGTGTCTGCTTGGAAAGGTCCAGGAAGTAGCTGAGAGCTTTGAGAGAGGACACAGCAGGCTTCTGAGCATGAGACGGAGATGTGAAGGTCGTTTAAACATGTGTCTACTGATGAAGCCTTTGGTTAGAGTGATGTTTCCCCGGGGCCAGATCAGAGAGTTGAGGCCTGGGGAGCAGAGGAGATGGAGGAGGAGGAGCCAGAAGACAGGAAGAAAACAGGGAGGAAAGGGCGTTAGAAAAACTGCAAAGATGACTTCAAGGAGGAGAGAGTAGTCAAGTATCAAATGTGGCAGAGACATCGAGTGAACGTGTCCTTTGCGTCATTAGTACAGAAGTCAGCTTGCGGCTCTGTCAGAGCTCCTTCAGTCACGGAGTAGGGGCAGAGCCCTGTCGCAAGCTGAGGAAGCAGGGGTTGTACATGGAGAGTGCTTTCAGGAAGCTGAAAACGCAGTGATAGTGGCTTTTGCTTTTCTGTCGGCTCTGCCTGTCTTCATCCGAGAAGATGGAGAACCTCGTGTTAGGTTTCACAGAGCCTCCAGAGCTGGTGCTGTGATTACTAAAAACCTGGGAACTCCCTCATTCCTTGGGACCTGTTAGAGGTACCCTGAGTCCCAATCTCCAGCCCACAATGAATAAGTCTAAATCAGTGGTGGAACTTTCTGTGCTGTTGTGCGTCCCTGCACACCAGTTTCTAAACAAGATCATGTTGTGTTCAAACCAACATTTCAAAGTCAGAGTGGTGTTCAGGGTTTCAAAATGAACTCGCAAGCCAAACAGGAAATTAGCACCAGCTATCTGAGTGACTTGACAGGAGAAGAGGACCGTGTTGGCTGAACCCAGCTCTGGCTGATCACGATTCACTACCCGGGGGCCCTGCCAAGCACCACCCTGTCCTTGAAGGAGAAGCACAAAGCTCCTGACTTCCAGATGACTGTTTTCAGGTCAGGTGCCAGGAATCTTTCAGGCATATCAAATGCATTGCATTTTTATTTTACTCTGTTTCCCCAGTTGTATAGGTCTCATACCTAAAGTTAGCATTTTATTACAGCTTAGTTTTTGACATAGATCCATCAAACCTAAAATGAAGACTTCTACGTAGAAATGAAAAGCGAATTTGGGTTTGGTGAGTTTTAGGCGGAGCCAGTTTCACTCTGGAATGCTGTGGAATGTTCTAATTTAACATTTATTTATTTATTTATTTATTTTTTAACAGTTTTTTTTTTTTTTTTTTTTGTGAGGAAGATCAGCCCTGAGCTAACATCCATGCTAATCCTCCTCTTTTTGCTGAGGAAGACCGGCTCTGAGCTAACATGTATTGCCAATCCTCCTCCTTTTTTTTTTTTCCCAAAGCCCCAGTACATAGTTGTATGTCATAGTTGCACATTCTTCTGGTTGCTGTATGTGGGACGCAGCCTCAGCATGGCCGGAGAAGCGGTATGTGCCCGGGATCCGAACCTGGGCTGCCAGCAGCGGAGCGCGTGCACTTAACTGCTAAGCCATGGGGTCGGCCCTAATTTAACATTTATAAATCTGCTGTCAGTGAGTCAGTTACAATGTATTTGAACCACGCAACAAAAGAGGGGCTGGACGCCACCGCTGCTGTGTGGACATTCGCACCGGGGAGTCACCCATTCCCAGGGTTTGCTCTTGGACAAAATCATTACTGACTGTTGTTTTTGCAAATGAGACTATATATTTTTTTTCTGGTAATAAAAAAGCAAGGGGTTATAATTCTTAAAAAGGGAGAGATAGTAGAAAATGTAAGTTAACCTATCATTCCTCTGCTCCTAGAGAGGGATAATCTCTTTTCACAGTGTGTGTATGTGTGAGCTCACACTGTCACACGCTCACACACACTCACTCACACCCTCACTCACACCTCTGTATAGGCTGATACTGTTGATTCTCTTATATATCCCGCTTTTTTTCTCCACTTAACAGGACATTGTAGATAACATTCCTTGTCATTACCTCATCATTTTTCAGCAGCCATTGAATGGATGTATGATGGTTTACTTGACCCCTGTTAATGGACATTTAGTTTATTTATTCCTCAGTTTTTATAATTACACATACATACAGCTGCAAAGATTACACTTGTCTCTACGTTTTTGTGCATTAATTTCATTGTTTCTCTAGGACAAATATTTTTAAAAATTAAAATTGGTGTGCCACCAAAAGTTTTTGACATACTGCCAAACTGCCCTCCTTAAAGGTTCTACAAAGTTAGGCTCCCACTAGCAGTTTATGAGCATCCCTGTTCCCCTGCACCCTTGCAATGCTAGATATTATAAGATATTTAAGAAATCTTTGCCAATCTGGTGAGGAAAGAGCATTTGTGTGTCGTCCCCCCCCCCACCTTCCTTTTCTTTAATTTTAAGGAAAGAGCATTTTTTAATTATATTTTTTTCATTGCTAATAAGGTTGAAATACACACACACACACACAATTTGCATTTCTTTGAATTGCTAATTTGTGTCCTTTGTCCATTTTTCTGTTCATATGTTTGTCTTTTATCGCTTACAGATTTGTTATGGTTATTAATCCCTTACTCACAAATGCTGCGTATTTTCTCTTTCAGTGTTATTGAGGATTAAAAATGACCCCAGAAAGGGCCAGCCCTGGTGGCTAGTGGTTGAGTTCAGTGTGCTCTGCTTCAGCGGCCCGGGTTCGGTTCCAGGAGTGGACCTACGCCACGTGTCTATCAGTGGCCATGCTGTGGCGGCGGCTCGCACACGAAAAGAGGAAGATGAGCAGCCAGTGTTAGCTCAGGGTGAATCTTCCTCAGGACGAACAATGGCCCCAAAAGGGGGAGAAGGGCGAGGCAGAATTGACAGATTGGAGCCGTGCAGACCATAGCTAGAGTTTGGTTTTGCTTTTTGGCCCAAACAGTATTTTTTAGAATTTGAATTAATTATTATACTGAAAACGGGAAGATACCCGGCAACTTTAGAAAAATCAGAAGCTCTGACGATGTTGAGCCTGCTTCCTCTCGTGGCTGCAGCACTGAAGCTGAGTGGGAGCTGCCCCCCTTAGAGGAGAGAAGGGCTCTCCGTGTCCCCGTGTCCCTTCACGGTGAGGCCTTGGGACTCGTGTCCCTCCACGTCTGTTACCCGCCTGGCCTCTGCCGGGGGTAGAGGTGGTGGCTGTGACTTCACTATACCCTAGTCCAGGGCGTATTTAAGAGTATGGAGATGAAGAGAATGTTTAATTTTAAACTGTGTAGAGCATTTTCTCTTTCCCTTTTTTATGAGGAAACAGAATCCTAAAGATTAATTTGCCGTAGGTCACTTATGCTCAGAATCATAAAATACTGTCCCTATGTAGCTAAGTATAGTTTCATTTGTCTTGAGAACTTCTCTAATGTTAGACATTCCAGCTACTGTTTTTTAAACATGTAAACTTATGAGTGGCATTAAGAGGGAATTTTTCTATGGCAACTAATTAATAAGTTTGTGTGTGTGTGTTTAAGATACTCCTGTCCTCATGAGGAATACATTGCAAGGACATGTTGGCCCTTTATTTACCTCTCATGCATCAAAATACCTTAGTTAGCTTTAGAGCAAGTGGGAATCTAGACCTGTTCTATCCGGTATGGTCGCCAGGACCCACATGAGGCTATGGAGCACTGGAAATGTGGCTATTCCAAATGGAGATGTGCTGTAAGTATAAAATAACACTGGATTTTGAAGATGTAAGAAAAAAACATAAACTAATAAGTAAGAGTTGGGTCTAGAGATGAATTCTTTTGATTCCCACTGACCTTCTTATTTAAGGAAAATACAAAATGAAAACCTAGAGAGCTCTGTTCATGTGTGCTTCAAAGATGTTTTTCTAGAAGATAAGCGTTTTGTTACTATCTTCTTAAGCACAACTTTTATTTGATGTTGCAGAGAAATGTTTTCTCATCTCTCCCTGTCTTATGCACCTAAGATTGACAAAGGCTTAGCTAGAATTAAGTATACTGAATGTGAGCTTACTGTAGTCCATTGGTTATTAAAAAGAAGCTTCAAGATTTTGTAGAATGCTCTCATAGCAGGTTGCCACAAGATTTGAACAAGCAGAGTGAATCAGAAGACCTGACTCTAGCTTTTTTTTTTTTTTTTTTCATGGTCTACAGACCTTTCCTTTATAGCAATGTTGTACAGAATTCAGACAGTGCAATTACAAGTCCAAGATAATGCTGATTTATTCCCATCAAGAATGTAACACTCTAAAAAGATGTCTTCTGAGGTCATTTGTTAGAATTTCTTTTCAATTGTTTCTTCATCCTTGACATCATTAAAGTTCATCCTTATTCCTCTTTCCATGGTTTTGGAGATTTTCCAATTTTTCATATATTAAGGTAGCAATCTCTTTTGCATCTCTGGCATCTATTTGCTCTCCCCAGGTATTTCTCTTTGCTCTTTCGTAGGGATAAAATTTAACAGTCGGATAGGCTCTGATCCCGGCTTTCTGGCAGGTTTGAGCATGAGCCTGACAGTCTACTTTCCCAGCTTTCACTTTTCCTTTAATCATCCTAGCCAAGAGCTCAAATTCCGGAGCAAAATTTTGGCAAGGTCCACACCAAGGAGCGTAGAAATCAACCACCCAGTGATTCTTCCCTTGTAAAACTTTTTCATTGAAAGTCTGAGGTGTTAGATCTATGGATGCTTGAGGTAAAAATCCTAGACCCCAGATTCTTAGGGAATAAGCATCCCTATTCCAACCATTGTAACTATGATATTGATAAGCTTTATTTGATTTTTGGGGAAAAAGTCTTATCTCGGGGTATCTCCGAACATTTTCTTGGGCACAAAAAGAATGATACTGTTGGCAGTCTATACTGCCCACGTTGATCAGTCCAGTTAATGTCCGAGCCATTCTCTTCCATTCTGGCATTAACACTTGACATGGATGACACCATGGAGAATAGAAATCAACCATCCATACTTCATCATGTTTTCTCTGTGTAACTAGTTCATTGAAAGTGGTGGGTGTTAGGGAGATCACTGAAGGATTCATAAGATCCTCTATGAACTCCAAGATCTGTTCTGCAGAGTGATGTCCTTCATATTCATGAACGTTGGACTGGTTGAATACCACTGTTGTTGGATAAGCCTGAATGTTATGCATGTTACAGAGTCCCTCATGAACTGTACAATCTAGAGTACCAAACTTAAGCTGACCATAAAGATGCTTTGATGCTTTCCGTAACTCCGGTAATAACGCTTGACATGGCGGACACCAAGGGGCAAAAAAATCAACAAGCCATGGTTCTTTGTCATTGGCAGGAAAATTTTGAGGTCCAAGTGTGGTAACATGTGAATTAACACTTTCTTTGGCAAAGGCAAGTATATCATATAGAATCTTCTTTCCATGATGAATTTCATATTCTTTGGTTCCTTGTCCTTTAAATACTGCTAGACATGGCTGAAAAACATAGAGATTACTACAGATGTCTGGTGCAGAGGAACAGTCAAACCTGCCGATTTGAATATGTTCATTTTTAAGTAGAGTTTTTAGTTTCTTCAACTCAGGATCATTTGAATTTTCATTTTTTCCAAAATGAAAAAATATGAGCCACCGATGATGAGCCAAGCGATCCTCTAGTGTGTTTGCTGAAAGTAGTTCAAAATCTGGAAGATTATGCATTATTTCCAAATATATTTCTTTAGCATCCAATGAATTAAGAAATAAAATATTGCTTTTCTCTTTGTTACTCAAAGTGGCTCCAGGAGGAAAATAGGCAGTGGTACTTGTTGTGATATCCAAACTTTTACAAAGGTTTTCCTGTATGGCGCAGTCCATCCATCCTACATTAACAAGACCATCCAACATGCCACTAAGCCTGAGACGTGTCTGTGAAGTCAAACAATCTCCTCCTTTGGAACAAAAAGTGATCAGCCAACCAATACCAGCAGCAAAAGCAGTTTGTATGGAGTTAACAAAATTTCCTGTCCACAGTTCTGTCACTGTGCTTCTAACATGTTGCATGGCGAAGCTCACTAAACTTTCCTTTGATCTGTCACCATGGTATTTCACCGCAGCCATTCCAGATCTAAAAATGAAGAGGCTGGGATAACTGCTGACTCCTTTCATTCGGCAAAGCATTCTATCATCACCACAGTTAACAGCTCCAATTCGAAGTAATCCATCTACTTCTTTAGCAAAGTCTCTCCACGTGGGAGCTAAATCATGGCAGTGTGAACATCCTGGGGAGTAAAAGTTCACAAACCACAGTTCTCCAGAATTAACAGCAGCATCAAATTCTCTTCTATCCAATGTTATGATTTCAGGATCATCATCATAAATACCAAAATCGTAGCGATAATAATTCCAGCTTTCATACTGGCCTCCTTCTTGATTGTCTGCAAGTCCCTTTTCTCCATATTTGTCATACTTTTTCCGCAGATCTTCATCTTTGAGTACTTCATATGCTCTATTTATTTTTAAAAAATCACTATGTGCATTTGCGTTATTCGGGTTTTTATCAGGATGCAGCTTCAATGCCAATTTCTTGAAAGCTTGTCTTATTTCTCTACTGCTTGAAGTTTTGGATACTCCAAGTAAACTGTAAAAATCCTGATCTGTGGCCACCAAAACAGCCACATACACTAGTAGAAAACAGACAATGACCCCCTTCATGTCTCTGTCACCGTCATCTTTATTTAACCAGATTCCCATTCTTTTTTTTATACAAGTTCTGATTTAAGGGAACATTAAGATACGCCGTTGGTTCCGTTGATGTAATATGCAAGTTTGAGAACTTCTGTCCACATTATTCCAAGGATGACTCAAGCATCATGAAAACTGTCTCCCAAAATGTTAATCTCGGTGTTGCGGGGTCGCCTCCTGCAGCTACTGCCCCATCCTCAATCCCCGGCGTCTGACCCCACCGGCTGAGAGCAAGCCGTGCGTGCGGGAGGGAAACACGCGCTCTCCGATCGCCGAGCCGCCGCGCCCGGGACGGGGGAGGACAAGCCGCCCCGGCAGCAACGAGCGCGGCCACCTCCGGTCGGCTCCTCGCGCGCCGGTCTCCCCGGGCTGACTCTAGCTTTAGGGCCAAATAATAGCTACTCTTAGGAATCTTTGTCAAAGCTTCAGCAACTTGGGAAAACAAGTGTTTAAAAGAAGTTTTCCTGGCATCTTGTGGATATAGATATTTAACAAAATAGAACAGAAAAATGAACCCCAAATTTTTCCACTTAAAACAGCAGATGAAAGTGATGGTGAAGACAGGCTGTGGGGCTCTCTCCTGGAGACCTGATGGGGTTCTGTGGTTAAAGTGACGGTGAACATGGGCAGTGGTGCTCTCTCCTGGAGACCCAATGGAGTTCTGATGATTTTCTCTCCCCAGACCCCTGCTCTTCAGTCTTGTCTTGCAGATTTGTCCCTATTACTTTCATTCGTGGATTCATTCGTGTATGTTGTGAACATACCACGTTCAAGGGACTGTGATAGTTGTTGTGGGAAAGAGAGGAAGGCATAGGAAGATGTACACAAGTAACATATAGGGTAAAAATTAGTATGTTTTAAGAGAAGCCCAGATAAAGGGCTATGAACATGAACAGGAGAAACTGTTTCTGAGTGGCGGGGCAGGGAAGACCTCCCCACAGGGCAGCAGGAAAGCTCGTCTGTGCAGAGCACTGGGGAGGATTTGAACATATGGAGATGGGCAGAGAGGAGAGAGCGTATAGGAGAACAGTGGAGTGGGTGTCAGGAAGATCACATCCTACTTGGTGGCCGTGTGTTGAGTTCCCGCAGAGCTGGGAAGACTTGTCAAAGGCAAGTTGCAGAGGATCTTACATTCCAGTCAGCACCTTAGTTTAGACTCTGTAGGGCATCTGCACAGGGTATTTGAGTATGGGAAGAGCATTTCAGCACTGTCCTTCAGTAAGAGTAACTCATCAGTGGTGTGTAGGATTGATTGAAAGGGTGCTAGAATAGATGAGGTGTCCTGTTAGGAAACCAGTATACTGGCTCAGGCAGTTACTAATGGAGAAACTGAACTGGACATCTCTATCTTTAAGAGTAGAATTGAATTGAATTTGGAGCAAAACTAGGAGTGAAATATATATGAAAATAGTATTAGCTTACGTTTGCTGAGTGTCTGCTCTGTGCCCGGCTTGTCTGAGAACTTTCCACTTATCATCTCAGTTGGTTCTTGCAGTCACTATGATGTAGATGAGGACGAGGCCTGGAGCGGTAGAGTCCGTCACCCACATCACCCAGTTGGGAATGACAGAGCCAGGCCGGCCCTCAGTCAGTCTGAATCCACACTACGTGTTGCTTTGCAGAAGGAGTCATCATGGGAGTCTTTCAAATAACAAACCTCCCACCAGTGTACTTGAAACATGATTCATTTTAGAAAAATGTATTTTGTACAAAATGTCTTTGAGGTTGCAGCTCTGATATAAAGCTAAGTGAACAAGTAAAACCAGATTTTATAAAATAATCATGTTTAAAAACGAGGTAAAACTGATGATGTTTTCATTTGACAGGATATTCTGACATTTCTGCGTGGTGCTAATTGTTTAAGCAGAGTGATTTGAATGTGTCATGTAAAGATTCTAACAGGAAAATTACTGTTAGCTTTAAAGAAAACCCATTTAGTTGGCCGGGTGGGATACCTGACGGCTCACCCTTGCCTCAGAGGTGAAGGAGTGGAGCTGGCTTAAGCACAGATGGAGGGACGGGAGATGCTCTTCCTAAAACCTCCTCTGGAGCGGGAAGCAGGTGCAGCTGTGAAAGGCAAAAAGATGCTGTTGTGTTTTTTTTAAACAAATGAAACTTTGGGGAAAACATCTCAAAACGGACTCTCCTGAAAGTAAAAATACTTACTTGACTTGTGATTCTAGCAGACTTTGAACTGACTTTTTGTCTGGGCAGTGCAATTGTGTTAACGTGTATGTCATCGAGCACAATAGAGTTGGCATTCAGAGGACACGGAGACCAGGGAGGGCCCGCCTCGTCCTGACACGGGGGTCTCCGCGTGCCCTCGTGAGAGCGGCACCACATAGCGTTCGTTTGTTCAGACGGACCAGAAGAATCAAAACCATTGTGCTGAATTGTTTGTAGGACAGGTGCTGAGTTTCCTTTGACAGAAAAGGAAAAAATGCTAGATTTAATGTTTTCCCTTTGTGTTCAGCAGACACACAAGTAAATATCTGTGAGAGAAGGAAACCCCAGTAGGTTAGGGGAAGCAGATCTGATAGCAGCAGTTCTAGGCACAGTGGTCTCAGTGACCACTCAGGACACTCTTAAAAATTACTGAAGAGCCCAAGAGCTTTTGTTTAGGTGAATCATATGTATTGAAATTTACCATAATATAAATCAAATAGTTTTTAAAATATTAAGTTAAAAATAATCACTTAGTGAAAGAAGCCTGTCTGAAAAGGCTACATATATTGTATGGTTCCAACTATGTGGCATCCTGGCAATGGCAAAATGGTGGAGACAGTAAAAAGTTCAGTAGTTGCCACTGACCTCATCAGAAGAGTCTTTAAATATTAGGAAGCTGTTGGGCTCATGTGGCCAAAATACAATTTTCCAAAATTCTAATTTTCACCCGAAAGCTTGAATTTTATCATTGGTGCCAAGCACTGTCAATTGTTTTCCTTGAAGTGACAGGCCCACCTTATTTTCAAGAGAATGCCTGCCAGATGTCCAAATTGAATAACATAGTTTGTCAGTAATTCTCTCAAGTCAAAGAGATGTTCTATGAAAACAGCAACTTCTTCAACTCACAGTCCTAACACCCCTGCAGATGCCTTTCCTAGGACATCCGATGCACGTGGGTACACAGCAGGGTGTTGTGTGTGTGCTTCCCTTCATCACACACAACATTAAAGAGACATGCACTCAAGGGCTGAGATGCAAGACAATGAATAACTTCTTGTTTCGTCAAGGACATCCTTAAGCGACACTGGCTTTCTTGTTATTTCACTGCAAGGGCCTGGCGGTAAGGAATCCAGTGACTTCTGGTACAGTCTGGTGCCACCGCCCTGACCTGTGCTGAGATGCCACTGGCTTTACTCACCGTGGTTGTTGCAGCGTCAGGGAAATGTCAGCACCCTGCAAAGGGCAGTAATGTCTCAGTACGGTTATGAAATAGCATTGACTGCACGACCCCGGAAAGAGTCTTGGCGCCCCCAGGGGCTGCAGACCACACTTGAGAACTGGTGGGTCTGAATTACAGTGGTCATACAAACATGGTAAAAATTGACTGTTTCCTGGGTTAACCAAGTAGAAATTTACCGTCTTTGCATTTTTGGCTCTAGGATTCTTATAATCTTGCAATGGAAAGTCTGTTTAAAAATTAAAATCAAATATGTAATTGAGAACCAAAGAAGAATAAAATGCAAATTTAGCATTAGAAAGAAATGAAATCCATAAACTGTTGTATTTAAAACTGAACTTGAGGGGCCGGCCCCATGGCTTAGCGGTTAAGTGCGTGCGCTCCGCTGCTGGCGGCCAGGGTTCGGATCCCGGGCGCGCACCGACGCACCTCTTCTCTGGTCATGCTGAGGCCGCGTCCCACATGCAGCAACTAGAAGGATGTGCAGCTATGACATACAACTATCTACTGGGGCTTTGGGGGGGAAAATAAATAAATAAATCTTTAAAAAAAAAACAAAAACTGAACTTGACACTCAAGTGCATGGACCTCATTTTTATTTAGGAAATAGTTGCCTTGTGTCTTACATAAATGTTTTCTTCACATTTTCAAAATCTCTGGTTCTATTGCTTCCCTTTGGTAATTGAATCTTCTTTAATCTGAAGAAATGTTATGTTTTCTTGCATTAATTATTTTGGATAAAAACTACATTTTTGCATTTTTATTGAGACTCTCCCTGGATGAGTACTTAAAGGCAGTATTTCTAGTAGTTTGTGTCAAACGGTTTTTTAAAAGTACACATTTGCAATTTACTGAGTCAATTTCTGGAGTAGAGGATGCACAAGATAGGGACCCACTATGTGCGCCCCCATCTCGGGAGACACTGAGGTTGTACTTTTCAGATGAGATCCTAGAACTTCAGTGTTTGAACCTGACTGATTTCCCACTGCCTGTGGGCACACTGAGAAGGATAAATTTAGGAATGCTCTGAACCCTCCATGAGGACTTAAGGCAAAGTAGGCAACTTGCATGTATCCTTGAAGAATTTATTTGGACATGGAATTAGACCTGTGATTAGATAAAACATTGACCTATTCTCCAGTCAAAAGAGGGGGGACACCGGCTATGAAATGTGACTACAGCAGTTAGAAATGTTCACTGACATTGTATAGTCCAGAGGTGGGAAACAAGCATGGAAACCATAGTTTGTGTTTTTGCTTACAGTTCTAATACAGAAAGTATAATTCATATACTTCACAGCTGTGACCTCATCCAGACCCATGGTGAATGTTAGGACATTGTCAAAAGTGAAAGCAGGTTGAATTAATGCCAGTAATTAATGCCTGCCAATTTGTCTTTTTTGTGTGTGAGGAGAATCAACCCTGAGCCAACATCTGATGCCAATCTTCCTGTTTTTTGTTTTTTGTTTTTTTGTTTTTTTTGCTGAGGAAGATTGGCCCTGAGCTAACATCCGTGACCATCTTCCTCTACTTTATATGCGACACTGTCACAGCACGGCTTGACAAGCGGTGCATCAGTGCACACCTGGGATCCGAAGCCGCGAACCCCGGGTTGCTGAAGCGGAGGGCGCGCACGCAACTGCTTGCGCCACTGGGCTGGCCCCAGGCCTGCCAATTTGTATTGACAAAGTAAAGATGTCCAGACTTCTGTGAACATGAGGTAGAATTCAAGCTTAAAAGAAAAGAAAGAGTTGCAGACATTATGGAAAACAGTATGGAGATTCTTCAAAAAATTAAGACTAGAACTACCATACAATCCAGCTAGTCTACTTTTGGGTATTTATCCAAAGAAGACAAAAACACCAATTTGAAAAGATATTTGCACCCCTATGTTCCTT